AAAAAAAAAAAAAAAGTTCTTGCTTTGCTTCTTCCTGAAGGATTTCCTGTCTTGAATTCTTGCAGCTATGGCTTATATGTCAATCCTATGTTCTGCAAATGCTTGGGGCTTCTAGGGTTCTTCATTTTTTTTTTATTTTTTTTTTCCTGATGGAGATGGGATTTCATTCTTATCTCCTCATAGTTTCTTGTAATTGGAGATCTTTTTGGACTAGCTGTTGTGATTTCTGATTACAGTTTTCCGGAAAAATCCTGATCTAGAAAAAAAACAAAAACAATAATAGCTAAAGGAATTAGAGGGCTCGGTTCATTTTTAAGCTCCCAACAATGGAAGACGAATCTACCTCTTGGATCAGGAGAACAAAATTTTCCCATACCGTTTGCCACCGTTTTGATGCCTCGAGACTAAATGCAGCCCCTTTTTCCATTATCCCAAGCCGAACAACGAGCCTTATCTCCCGACAAGAACTGGGCCCGACAAAAAAACCCGAAACAAACCAAATGTCAACAGCTCAAGCCCAAGCCCGCAAGAACCCGCCTGCAAACCGCCAACGGGCCGTATCCCCCAACCCGGTTACAAAGCTCCCGGAAACTTTCAAGGAGGCCCGGTCGAGCCAGAGGCGATTCTCCACCCCAACCCCTCGCCGGAAAATGGTCCCGGGCCCAAGCCCGGTCCACAAGTCGTCGAGGAGCACGAGCCCGTTTAAGTACCTGAACTCAATCAAGCTTCACGATAAGTCCAAGAGCCGTAAAGAGTTCGGGTGGACCAAGTATTTTGATCATGGTGGAGGGAGAGTCACTTCTGTGGAGACTGTTGATGTTGAGAATATGGTCGATTTGTCGAAGCTTTTCTTGGGGAACAAGTTTGCGCATGGGGCCCACAGTAGGCTTTACCAGGGGTTTTACATGGACGAGCCGATTGCCATGAAAATGATTATAGTTCCTGATGATGACGAAAATGGGGCTCTTGGGGCCCGGCTGGAGAAGCAGTTTGTGAGGGAGGTCACGCTTTTGTCCCGGCTCCACCATGAGAATGTAATCAAGGTAAATAATTTGTTGTTTTTTGTGTTGATTTTTCAGTTTTTAATTCTTTGGAGTAATGAGAAAGATTGTGATTTTTGCGAAGAAGTTGAGTTTTTGTTGATCTTCTGTGGAGGGAAGGTAAAAGGGGTAGGCAGTTCAGTTAGATATGTAATATGTGTGTGGTTAATTAAGTTGTAAAACGATTAGGTTGATCAGAAATTTCCTTTATATTATGGTTAGTCTTGTGCATAACAAAAACCAAAAGCTGGGCATTTGAGAACCTTTTATATCTCGGTTTGGTATAGTTAATTTTAAAAAATAGTGGTATAATTAGTTGTTAATGGAATTTTGCGTTTATATTAAAATAATATTTAAAATAAAATAAGCAAAGTTGATATGATGTAAAACTAGGAGAGAGATGATGTGAAATGATCGTCAGTTAAAATTACGTGAGTGGATGAATAGTAAATTAAAGTTGATGTAATGTGTAAGAATGATTGAGTGAATACTATTAATAATATTGATAATATTGAGGATAGTGGAGTTGAGTTAAAGTCGAGTTAGATCAGAGTTCAAATAAAAAAAAAGGATTGGTTAAAAAATATTGGATTTTTTTTTTGGAAATTTTTTATATCCAAGCATTCATCTTTTCCTATTTCCGTGTTTGTAAACTTACTCTTTATATTACATTTTTGTAGCTTGTGGCTGCCTTCCGAAAACCGGCAGTCTTTTGCATCATAACCGAGTATTTGCCCGAGGGCTCTCTAAGGGCATACCTCCACAAATACAAGGACCCTCTCCCCATGCCCAAGCTAATCTCGATGGCTCTCGACATAGCCAAAGGAATGGAATACATACATTCTCAGGGAGTTATCCACCGGGACCTCAAACCCGAAAATATCCTCATAACTCACGATTTTCGCCTCAAACTAGCTGATTTCGGCATAGCTTGTGAAGAGGCTTATTGTGACTTGCTGGCCGATGACCCGGGCACTTATCGATGGATGGCACCTGAGATGATTAAGCGGAAAAAGTACGGGCGTAAAGTTGATGTGTACGGTTTTGGGCTTATCTTGTGGGAGCTTGTGGCTGGGGCTATACCATACGAGGATATGACACCTATACAAGCTGCATTTGCTGTGGTGAACAAGGTACAATGACTTTATATATATATATATATATA